TTTTTTTTTTTTTTTTCTTTTTTAACAGTATTTACCTCACCCTTTAGGCCCCGCCTGACCCTGTAACCATCATAGACTGTTTCACAGCCAATGCCTTTTATAACCAGGTCTCAAAACATCTTTTCCAGCCCAAATCCAATCTCCTCCACAGTGCTCCAACCTCACTGTTGTTGTTAAGTGCTGTCAAGTCGGTTCCATTCATAGCGACCCTGTACAGGGTTTCTGAGGAGCAGCTGGTGAGTTTGAACTGCTGACCTTGCAGTTCAAATTGACCTTGTGGTCAAGTGCTAATCCTACAGCACCACACTCTCTTGTTAGGTACCATCAAGTCAGTACTGACTCATAGCGACCCTATGCACATCAAAACGAAACACTGTCCAGTCCTGGGCCAACCTCACAATTGTTGCCATGCTTGAGTCCACTGATGCTGACACTTTGACAATCCATCTCACTGAAGGTCTTCGTCTTTTTCTCTGACCCCCCCCTCCACCTTACCGAACATGATATCCTTCTTCTCTCTCTGTTATTGTTGTTGTTGTTGTTAAGTACTGTGACCCTGCACAGGAAAAAATCTTTACAGGAGCAGAAAGCCTCATCTTTCTCCTGCGGAATAGCTGCTAGTTTCAAACTGCTGACCTTGAGGTTAGCAGCCCGATTTGTAACCACTATGCCAGAACAGACCAGAACTCCTTCTCTCTAGTTACTCATAATGGTCAAAAGCCTTTGCTTGTGGTTACTCCTTCTGCATGGAATGTTCTCCCCACTTTTTGCACCTGGGAAATTCCTGCCCATCCCTTGTGATCAAGATGAAAAATAATTTCCTCTGAGTCCATCATCCCCGCCCTCAAAGAGTTATAAACTACACAGGAAGAGGTTCTAATAAATATTCCTCCACCTGCTTCCTCACAATGCACCCATAAGCAACTCAGACTAAACTTGTCTAAATCCTACAGTGCTGGTTAATCTGATTTCCTCTGTGCTCCACATCACATGGTCAGTCACAGGGTCTCCCAGGACACTGACCACGGTGTGGGCCTGTGTCAATTCCTCTCATATTCTCCATAGCTTGTGTCTGTAGCAAGTGCTAGTTAGCACTGGTGACAGCCTGCCAGCCCCCTTTCACTGAGCAACTCTGAAAAGGGTAATTACCTACCTCCTCCCTCCCTCTGGGGCTTTAGCACAAACCGGTTAGGAGCAGCAAGGGCCTCCATGATGGCCTGGTCCCCTTCTTCACCCTGGTAGGAGAGAGAAAGCAGTCACTAGCAGTCTTAAAACCAAAGAGGCAAGAGCAGGAGTAGGGAAAATCCTGTCCCTTTAGGCTGGATGCTACTATCTGGATGTGAGCTCCATCCAGCCCCTGGAGCAACAAATGCAATGAGAACAGACCTTTTACTGGCAACAACTCAGGGCTCTGCAGCAGTAGACCTGGACAAGGAACAGAATTGTCCCCTTTCTGGCTGGCTGTCTCCATCCCTTCCCCTGGTTACCATCTCCATCTCCACTTTTGCTGAGGGATCTTACAATGGATTCCAGTTCCCATCCTCCCATGATGAGGCGGCCTCGCTCCACCCACCACAGGCCTCTAGTGGTTCTCACAGAGCATCACTGATCATGCTCAGCCCCAATACCACCAGCTCCAGCCTCCCCCAGCATTGGGGTCCAGGTCCCTGCCACCTAGGAGGGCTGTGGAAGGAGAAACTAGGCTGCCCACACACCATGTCCAATGAGTAGAGGCCAGCAAATGTGGCACGGAGGCGGGCCACGGCCTCAGGCTGGCCAGGCAGCAGTAACTCCAGCACGCCCATCCGGCTCAGCTCCTGCTGCACCTTCTTAGTCCCAGCCAGCTGGGTGGCAATGTCTGGGCACTTGACAGCACGCGACCTCTCCAGCAGCAGGCGTGCCTCCCAGTTCTGCAGAGGGAAGACAGCAAAAGGAATTCTGCTTGACTTCATTCACTTCAGCTGACCTTGAACGAGCACCCATCAAGTGTCAGGTTTCACA